CTTGCATGTCAAATTTATATGGTCAAAAGTAGTTTTGATGCATGATATTGCCTCTAGGCACTTGTAGGAGTAGTTGCTATCAATTTTGTTGAGTTTGGTTCACTTTTTATTTTGAAGTTACTAAAAAATTCAGAAATTTTCAGAAAAAGATGAAAAGATTTTTGAGGGGCTCATCGAGCCGAAGCTCGAAGGATAAGCAAAGTGTGATGGCCTAGCTTATTAGGGATGATAGACTACTCATATCAATAAGGAATTCATTCTTTTCCAGGAGCCCATTCGGACAGAGTTCCAAAGTTAAGTGTGCTCAGCTTGGAGTAGTGTCAGGATGGGTGACCAACCGGGAAGTTGCTCCTGGGTGCACACGAGTGAGGACAAAGTGCGTAGAAAAGACTAGTATTGATCTGTGGGGCCAGTCTAGATCCCGCCAGGAGTAACGACCACCGGTGGGTATGTCTGGGGCGTTACAAGTTGGTATCAGAGCCGACCCTCGCGGTTACATGGATGGTTGCGAACAGGTGCCTGGTCATGTTGTTCATGACGTTTGTGACCCGTCGTGGCACACGGCATGGCACATGTACTGAACTGGAAGCATAGACGTATGTGCCAAGAGGGAACATTCCTGTGGCTCGACGAGGACGTCGGTTCTTCTGAGTGGGGGTGTATGTGATGGCCTGGCTTATTAGGGATGATAGACTACTCATATCAATAAAAAATTCCTTCTTTTCCTGGAGCCCATTCGGACAGAACTCCAAAGTTAAGCGTGCTCAGCTTGGAGTAGTGTCAGGATGGGTGACCAACCGGGAAGTTGCTCCCGGGTGCGCACGAGTGAGGACAAAGTGCGTAGAAAAGACTAGTATTGATTTGTGGGGCCGGTCTAGATCCCGCCAGGAGTAACGACCACCGGCGGGTGTGTCCGGGGCGTTACACAAAGTGAGGAGGATAAGAGGCCCAAATATAATTTTCCTCGCACCACGGAGGTTCGGCCATGTGACTGGCCTTGTGATGATTTCTTGAGAGCAGCCAGGATTTATGATGATTTCTATGAATTGGCTGAGAATGCAGCCCTCACCGGCTTCCTCCACGACCAACGCGAACAGTATCTCTTACTCACCAATATCTTTGTGCAAAACTTTCATTTCCATGCTAGGAGCTCACCACCTATGGTGGAATTTTTATTTATATGATGAGCATAAGGAGATGTCACTTCAAGATTTTTGTCGGGTTTGTTTGATCCCTTTCGAGGGAAGTGTAGAGGAACCACATCGTGACGATGTGCATGGGTTTTTTGATACCATTACTGTAGGGGAAACGGGGAAGGTTTTCGACGCACGAATTACTACCATACACTTTCCTGTTCTACGTTACTTTGCTATATTTGCTAGTAGATGCTTAATTGGGCGCGGAAACTATGGAAACGTGAGTGCCATTGATATTGTTATTTTGTGCCATGCCTTATTCCGTGATGACACATTCAGTATGGGCGCTATTATTGCAAAGCGGTTAAATCTTAACCGTACTAAGGGCCCTGTCCTTGGAGGCATCTTCGCCTCGCGCCTCGCTGCACACTTTAACATACCTATTAGGCATTACGAGAAGGAAGAGAAGTTGCTGCCTTCTGTTTATCTAGCTTATAATAGTATGGTAGCACATGATTTTATTGTTAAGAATAGGGAAAAGGCGCTTAAGTACAAATTAATATTTGCTAAAAATCATCGTGAGACTATTACCCTGCCTACTCCTTCCTTGTTCAATTTATCTGCAGGCAAGTACCTTGTTCCATTGGAGGCCATTAACACCTACCGGAACCCTACATCAGCTGCAGAGCCAGAGCCGGAACCACAATTTGATCCTCCACGACAGTCCGATTACCAGTGGTATCCGGAGGTGATTGCCAACCAGTGGCAACCCGAGGCTTCTTCACAGTATGACCCCAACTATTACTTTGGATATCCGCGAGGCCAGCCGTGGCCATAGACCAACTTAGTCCAAAAGCCTAAGCTTGGGGGAGTACGTATTTCTCACTGACATTACATTCATGTTCACACACTCATTGCTAGTTGTCGGTGCTCATACTTTTTCATTGTATCATCCATGCTAGTTTATTTTCCTTTTTATGCTTTCTTCTTGTGTGTTTAATAAACCTTAAGAAAAAAATAGTTGTAGCTTTCAGCTAGTTTACTTTCCATGCTTGTAGTAGTAATTAAAAAGAAAACCCGAAAAGATTTCTCGTTCTTCTTTTGCTTGTTGGGAGCTTTCTCATGTAAATAGTTTTATTTCTGTTCTTGTTCTTTGGTGGTCAAGAGGAGAAGACCATAATTGAAATGTTACAGTGGCTCTTATATGCATTATTGTTGATCTGACAAAGAGCCCATATTACCTTGTCTTATCTCTTGAATTGAATGCTTACAGATTCTAGCTTAGTCCAATGCACATGCACTATTATTATTATCCACACTATTCGTCCATGCAACTAAAAGGCGATAACGATGATTATATGATGAACTTATTGAGATTAGAAAAGCTGGTATGAACTCGACCTCTCTTGTTTTAGTGAATATGATTAGTTCATCGTTCCTGATTCATCCTATTATGAATAAACATGTTTGCAATGACAATTAGAGATTGTAGTTGCTTATGCCATGCTTAATTATCTAGGAGCTTATAATGGTTTACCTCGCGTGCCAACATGCTATTAAAATGGATGTGATGTGGTATGATAGGGTGGTATCCTCTTTTGAACGATTCGAGTGGCTTGACTTGGCACATGTTCACGCATGTAGTTGAAAGAAAATCAACATAGCCTCTACGATATTTATGTTCATGGTGCATTATATCCTACTCATGCTTGCATTCGGTGTTGATTATTTTTAATGCATGTTCATGACTGCTGTTGCTCTCTAGCTGGTCGCTTCCCAGTCTTTTGCTAGCCTTCACTTGTACTAAGAAGGAATACTGCTTGTGCATCCAATTCCATAAACCCCAAAGTTGTTCCGTATGAGTCCACCATACCTACCTATATACGGTATCTACCTACCGTTCCAAGTAAATTTGTATGTGCCAAACTCTAAACCTTCAAATAAACATTCTATTTTGTATGCTCGAATAGCTCATGTATCAACTAGGGTTGTTCATATCTTCCATGTTAGGCGGGTTATTCTCAAGAGGAGTGGATTCCACTCCTCACTCATGAGAAAATGGCTGGTCACCGGGATGCCCAGTCCCATGCTTTATGCAAATCAAATAAAATAACTACAAACAAAACTCCCCCGGGACTCTTTTTAGTTGGAGGCACTCGTTGTTTCGAGCAAGCCATGGATTGATGCTTGTTGGTGGAGGGGGAGTATAAACTTCACCATTCTATTTGGGAACCGCCTATAATGTGTGTAGCATGGAAGATATTGCCATCTCTTGGTTGTTATGTTGACAATGAAAGTATACCGCTCAAAATATTATTCATATCTATTTCGAAACCAAGCTCTGGCACCTCTACAAATCCCTGCTACCCTCTGCGAAGGGCCTATCTATTTAGTTTTATGTTGAGTCATCATCCTCTTATTAAAAAGCACCAGTTGGAGAGCACCACTGTCATTTGCATTCATTACTGTTAGTTTACATTGAGTATGACTTGACTGGATCTCTTTTACCATGAATTACAATGTCTAGTCAGTCCTTGATCTTTAAAAGTGCTCAGCATTTATGTTTTGCGGTCTAAGAAAGGGCTAGCGAGATACCGTCTTGTTATATCATATCATGATTGTTTTCAGAAAGTGTTGTCATCCGAGATTTATTGTTATTGCTCGCTAGTTGATTATGCCATTGATATGAGTAAACATGAGACCTAAGCGTTATTGTGAATATGGTTAGTTCATAATCCTTGCTGAAAACTTGAATGCTGGCTTTACATATTTACAACAACAAGAGCAAATAGAGTTTGTAAAAGTTTTTCTTTATCACTTTCAGTTTATCAACTGAATTTCTTGAGGACAAGCAAAGGTTTAAGCTTGGGGGAGTTGATACATCTCCGTCGTATCCACTTTTCCAAACACTTTTGCCCTTGTTTTGGACTCTAACTTGCATGATTTGAATGGAACTAACCTGGACTGACGTTGTTTTCAGCAGAATTGCCATGGTGTTATTTTTGTGCAGAAATAAAAGTTCTCGGAATGACCTAAAAATCAACGGAGAATTATTTTGGAATTTAAAACTATACAGAGGCTAGCCAACTCGCTCCCAGGGCCGTCCCTCGCGATGGGCTATTCGTGGCCGTTAGATCTGGTCAACTAGGTCGTTTCAGCCGTCAGATTTTCACTAGCTGGTAATCAATTGTTTTCACCGCGTAGTGCTTTGAATGCCCAATAACGGGTGGGCTCATTTCAGATGTCTATTGGCTGGGTGAGCCTTTTCCCGATGCCAATTGGCTCCTCGTGTGCCGCACTAGCGACGTGTCGGCCTGTGGTTGGGCGTGGGCGTGAACCCTAGCCCCCAGTCCCCAGCCGCCACACCCCTCCCTCCTCCTCACTCCCACGCCACACCGTCACACCATCTCCCTCCTCCCTCATCACCAGCCGCAGCACTAGAAGATTTGCCACCGACGAGATCCAGCGCCTGGCAAGGTCCTCGGGTCGGCTATCGCTCCCACCACTCCGTCGGCCAGATCTGCGCCCTTGACTCCCTCTTCTCTCGCGTCGCGCAGTGCCTCTGCTCCACCATCCGGCGGTTACCTCATGGATGACGGGGCCATGGATCTGTCCTTGAAGGAGAGAAGGAATATGACGGAGAGAGAACAGAGAAGGAAGGAGAGGCGGGAGAAGGAGAGAGGAAAGAGGAGAGGGAGGTGCAGCGGCAGATGGGAGATGGTCATCGGCCGACATTAGTCATTCAGCCATCCGCATCTCTCCTCTTCTCCTGCTCTCGACCACCAATGCACCCCCTCCTCTGTCCCTTCTCTTCTCACCATCTCCTCTTCTATGGAGCTAGCTGAGTGATCCACGGTGAGGAAGATGGGGAAGACAGAGCCAACACCGCCGATGCCCACGGGCCACTTCAGTCAGGTGCCTTCCATACTTCCTCCTTCAGGATTTTCAATCCAAGGTTCGTTTTGCTTTGAATCTATATATGCTTCTACATGATATTTAGTTTCTGTACTATGCGCTTGAAAAAATGACAAGGCCGTGCAGCAGAGCATAAAATGAAGCCGGAAACAGGGATGACGGGAGAAACAATGGTGGCTGAACAGTGGACAACCGAAGCTGGCTGAGAAAGAGGGAGGCAGTGCGTGGCAGAAGAGGGAGTCCAGGTGGTATCCGTTTCTGGTCATCTTCAGCTTGCAGGTTGCTGAATTTTCTCCTCTTTTGCTGCTTCTCTTTGATCAGTAGAACAAGTCGCACAGCATGTGTTTGCATAAATACTTCTCACAGATGAAGTCTTCTATGTGCAGGTGGGCGGATTACTAAAATTGTAGCCAGTCCATACTACATGCTCCCAGAGGTAATAAAGCACAATTATGGCCCTGAAATCAATGTCTGGATTGTAGGAGTTATACTTTACATACTTCTTTGTGGTGTGCAAACATTTTTGGAAGGTACTTACTTACCTTGATTGGACAGAATATATGTTGTGAAGAAATTATAAATCACCTTACAAATTGTTGTGATGTTGTGCAGATTCTGAACAGGGAGTAGCACAAGCAATTATGTGCTCTGTGGTAGATTTCAAAAGAGACCCAAGGCCCGGAGTATCTGAGCCTGCTAAAGACTTTGTTCGACAGACGCTAGATCCAGATCCAATCACACGGTTTACTACAACACACGTACTCAGTGAGCGTTAGTGATGTTACCTTTCCCATTGTGTAATAGCATACAGAATGTTTTCTCTCTCTCTCATGATGGTGAATTCAATCTTACATTGGGGTATGTATTTTTATGCCATAGCCATGAGCAATGGATAATTAACTTGCAGAGTTTTAATAATTGCATCAGACAATTTCACTATTTATTTTGTGGCATTGTTGATTGCATTAGTAGAACATCCATAGTTACATGATTCTAAAAAGAACCCTAACATTTCTCAATATAATAGGTGGTGTCTGTCGGTAGGGTCTCCCTAAACATGCGTCATCAAATCCAATTGCAAGCTACACGACAAGCTATGATTGAATACCATGTACAAGTATGGGGACAGAATAGTAAACAACAAATAAAGGATACTAGACGGAGATATTGTACGGACGCATGGAGCATGAACTCGTTTTTTTCAGGGGCCACCTTACTTGTGTGCCCTTAGGCTGAGGAGACCTTTCTAAGGTACGTACTGCTTCCTTGCTGATTTCAACCAAGAATAGAATGTTATTTCGTTCAATATAATTAGTGGTGTCTGTCATTAGGATCTCATGTTTGATCTACATTTCTTTGTTCACTGAATTGTAGACCACTTGCAAGTCAGTACCTAGGAAAATAAACATTTTTCTACCTCAAATTTGCAGATCAACATCCTTGCCTAAATATTTCCCTGGGCAGAATACACTTCTTATCCCAAAGCGATAAACATACCTATGTGAGCATCATGACCCACATAGCACTAGCAAACAGTTCTGTATGAAATCCTGGAAGCATTTCATCTTCTCAACAATTATTTTCTTTAGATCTTTCAACAACAAGGTGACTGTTCATGTCCTTAATTAATCCAAACCTACATCCTTTGTTAAATCTAAAGATGTCTTTGCATAATTTTGTGAGTTTTTTCCCATGCTTTGTTGATTTTTCCCCCTCTTAATCTTTTATTGTCTGTAAGTCACCAAATGCAAAAGATAGATATTGTTGTGAAGATAATGAAAACTTAATAGTTTTATATGGTGAAGCAACATTTTAAGGACAGCTGATAAGGAAAAGTCGAACAAGGATTAGTAGTCCAGTGTTTGGTTACTACGCAACTATCTTCAGCTTGAGTAAATGCACATTGTTCAGTTCAAGCCATGTTTTGTAGGTATCTTCCTTTACATTTGCTTTACAGAATGGTTTGTTGATCTAGCCGAGGGCTTCACTTCATTCAATTCACTATATTTCATTTACTAAGATAAAAATTCAAGTATCTGCTGTTGCTATGGTCAATGGCTTGCACACTGTTTTTATAGTGCACAATGAGCGTTGCAAACCGTAAGAAAAACACATGTTCTTGTTCTATTCAGTGTCCTTTTTACGCCATACTCCACCAATATATAACTTTTTTATGTCCAATTCATAGAAATTCTTGACAGCTAAGTGTGCGTGTGAGTCCCCTACAAAATCTCTCTCTCCCTCTCTCTAATTATCTCGATTTGCCTTTGAGATTGGAGATGCAAACACTAGCTATTTGTAAATGCACAAGGAGGAGTGCTCAGGGGAGGACGATAGCTTTCAGTTGTGTTTTCTTAGCACTAGCAGTACGAGATGCCAAATGTTAGTTAAGAAGCTTATGATTTGTGCCTTTTGTTCTTGACATAAGTGTACATGGAGGATGTGAAAGCGACGACAGAGGAGCTTGCTGTAGCTGCTCGCTTGCTCCGGGAATCGCCCCTCCTGACAGAAGCAAGCACGATGCCATGTCCTAGAGTATGTTCACGTACTTCTATCTGCCTAATGCATGCAAGCATGGATCGATCCATGCATGTATGTATATATACTGACAATTATATGTGACTGATTAATTAACTAAAACTTGAGAGGTTAAAAGGACAAGTGTTTTCAAATGAAGGAATATATTGTACGTGCAGCTAACTACATACACATATGCATCAGTCCATAATAGTTGAAAGTTTGGATATTAGGTATATGTTAAAGATCAGGGATCCTAATTGGCCATTCCCATACCACAATTTTCGTTGTATGTATCTCATGAACATTATGCTCTGTACCAGAATTGTCACTGTATCTCATCATTGTTTGGAGTATATCTTTGCAGCTCCATAGAGTTATTAGAATGATTTTACTTCCACATAATAGGATTTTCAAATTAAATCACAAGTCCTTCGTAAGCTTGCTTAGTTACTATGTAGAACGACCTTCTTTCAAGGAGCTGTAGATTTTTTGACAATACAAATATACAATGCCCTTTGAGTCGTTTATTTTATTTTCTGATTAATCCTTTATTATTTATCAACTGAGGCGTGATTGTCATGTGCACTTCTTACTGAAAATAATCCTGGTGTTATTTTCTTTGAGAAAAGAAATAGACAGCTCTATGTGTGCTTCTTAGCATCACATCAAATGGAATAATCGAATAGGGTTATATATTATCATATCTGCATACCTAATATCTTCTATAATTATATACCAGTGTAGGCTCTTGTTGTTAGATGATGAACTTGTCTTATTTTATGCCAAGTAGTTCAATTATGTGCACCTTCTCTCATGGTCTATTGCAATGGTCTACTGAACAGCCATATCATCCTATTATTGCATCGTTGCATTACAATGTACCATATGCTCATGCATTTCTTTTCTTACCAACATTGTCCTGATGAGTTGGCTGGCTTACATGTAGTCTGTTGTGCAGGTCTACTTATTTTAGGTAGCATTGCTTTCTGGAATACATCATTGGAACCTAGTAACATTCACTGCTTACAGTCAGCAAGACAAGAAGAACATGATTGTGTATGAGTTCATGCACAACGAAAGCATCACCTTAGCTGATGTTAAATTTGCTCCGTGGAATCAACAACACGCTATTGTATATGCACGTATGGTTCTTTCGCAGCAAAAATTTGTCCGTGCGGTTGTATTTCAGATATTTAGAACTGCAGGGTAATTTCTATATTTGCTGATTTAGGTTGTCTTAGGCTGCAGCTTCCTGTCCAGGCTACCGTGTAGCCCATATCCTTTGAAGAGGATATATCTAAATGAAAACTTGGAATTACCTAGGTGCATACATAATCTATTGATGATGTGAATAGAAACACCCGCAGTAGCGCTGACCTTTGGCAACCTTCATGTCGTTCCTCCAAGGCAGGCCATGAGTGATGGCGGCCGTGATGTCGGCCTTTCAAAAAATAGGGCTTTGCTAATTGGTTACTGGCTATAGGTTGTGTTTATTGTTTACATGTCATTTTTTAACCATTTGACCTATCTTTTATAGATAGTATAGTTCACAAAAAAGAAACTTTTGATAGAAAATATATGGGTTTATAGTAGACCATTATTATATATATGAGAGTGCACATCTTACTTAGTGGCATTGCTATGCTTCACAATATACAATATTTTGCATGCCAGTATAATTCATAAGTGGTTTTTCTTATTCAGGTGTTATTAATGTGGTGAGTGATTGAAGAGGAGGCATGAGGAGAAGAGCAGTCCAAAGGGCGGGTGGAGCATGTGACTTGTGGATGTTAGTTTTCATTTCCGGAAGAATAAATTTTCTATGATTTGAGTGTATGCTGATGTGTGAAAGTCAATCATTTGGATTCCCAACTAGACTATTTTGTGTGTTCAATATTTTATTGTGCATTGATAAAATGTTTCAGTGCCAGTGTGCACAAGTTGAATTTTGAAACAGATGAGAGGACAACTCTGCATAAAGCTTTGTTCGGTTACACCTCTTCCCACAGGGATTGTAGGGGATTTGGGGGGAATTTGACTTGTAGGAGATCTAATCCCCCCTCGATCCCTGCCAAACCTCTTCAATTCCCTGTGAACCGAACACAGCTTAAGGGAGTTTGCTCTTTAGGAAGGTTCTTGTTTGCTGTTGTTATTAAAAGTAGGAAATTTATATACATATAATAGTTGCTCAAGCTAAAGTCTTATGTAACATGTAACATCTGAACTCTGTTTGTGCTAATATTTTTTCCTATTGTGAAAGGCCATGTTGGGTGTTTTGGGTTTTAATTCAGGGAGGTACAGCAATTATGGGTTTGATCTCCTAATGTGTTTGAACACAATTAAGTCAAGTTATATATTGCATCGCATCTTCACGGTAAAGTTGTATGTCATATACCTTGCGCCATTTGGCTCTATGTTGCCTGAATAAAATAACAAAATATGCATGCTACCCTAACTAATTGCTAAAACCTACTACTTCTACTATCCAAGTCAAATATTTTGAAAACACTTTGGGTTTTACATGGTCTTTGCGCTTGCTCAAACATAAAGTTATTGAAAAAATACAAATATTTTCAACGTGCCCATGGTACCAAATCAGACTTTACGCCATTTGGATCAGAGATAAATTAAAATGTGTGTGTAGGTCCCATTATAGACAATAGTCTCCATTCTTTTTTTATTAAAGGGGTAAATTTTCTTATCATATGTCTTTGCCCACAACTAAACCAACTATATCATGGAAAAAAATTCAAAGTGCACATGGATTTAGCGAGTCTCTACGCAATATGTTCTTGCAAAATGAAATTATTTTCATCGACAACATGGCTTTAGCGGGTCTTTGCGCCATTTGGCGCAGCTGGTCAACTAGTATATAAAAAATACTGGAAGGAAGATCCACGTTAGGTGGGCCTCCACATGTCAACGAGGGTGGGGGCGCGCCCTACCCCCCTGCCTCGTGGGCCCCCTGACGCTCCACCGTCCTCAACCATGATGCGGAGCATCCCACGTTCATCCCCATGTACACTCCGACTATTCTCCAAGCCCTAAGAGAACATAAGACGAGACCTCATCTATACACCATTGGAAAGAAGGTGAACTCGCTCCTCTTCGAACCATCACTTTCCATACGTGAGACATGGCTACTACCTCAAACATGTGTGCTATGCATGACCAGGAACCAAGAGGAAGACCATGGACAAGAAGGCAAGGACACCAAGCGCGAGGAACGAAAAGAAGAGCTACGGAAGAAGCTCCA